TACATCATATGTCTTTTTGAAGAGTCAACAAAAACACCTTTTGGGTCAAAGCTTCTTACATGAGCATGGAAGACCCAATTGAGATGAGACAAAAAGGGTTGTTTAGGGGACATCCTAAGCTTTCTAAAAAGTCCAAGGACACCTCTCTAGCGTTAAAATTGGAAGAGATATGCCTTGTCAAAGTTGACCATTTTTGCAAAATTGCCAAAAGGCAAATGTGCTCAAAAATGCATTTTTTGCCAAATGAGCCTAACTTTTTATGCTTGCACCTCACTCATAACATGGTCCAAGACCCAAATATTCACCCACACATTATTTTCTTCATTTTTCATTTTATTTTGATTTTTTATTAATTAAAATGAATTAAATCAAATAAATGATAAATAATAGCAAAGACTTGTTTTGATCTGATTTTTGGACAGGATCACAAGCTAAATATGTTTACATATCAGAATCAAATCGAATCAAGGTGGATTGGTACAAGAATGGCATGATTAGGCCTAATTTGCAAACAAATCATACAAGAAAGGAATGAGATCAAATCTTCAAAGTTTTCAAAGATACATGTAGTTTTTATAACCCTAATTCATTCAGGGTTATATATTGAGCAAGGCCAGGCACGAAAACAAGGGGCTAGCAGCCGTGAAGAACACTAGAACAAACTCAAAATTTTGGCAAAAAGTGGTGATCTGATCTCTACCCTAGAGGACGATTCAAAGGCTTACACAAATTTGTGATACATTACACAAAGATTCGAAGCTTTATCCACTGAATAATACCATTCTTGGATGAAATGGAAAAAGGCTACGTACCCTTTTTTGATAAAGAGTACTTTAATCACAAAGTTAGCTCCCAATTTGATTTTTGTCTGAACGCAAGCAGTGCCAAAAGCATAAGTCCAATCTCCTACTCCCAACAGACAGCATGCCCTCACTTGTACTTGAAACTTAGGAACAACGAAAGGGATCAAACTTGTTTTCGTTTCAACCAAACCATGGTTTGTTATCCTACAAACCTGGTTACTCCAGCATCTCTAACCTTTTCTCTATAAATAGAGAAACAATTTGCAAGCTGAAAAAGATTTCGATGGCGTGGGAAAAATCATTAAACTCTCAAACTATCAAACTATCAAACTCTCAAACACTTAACACACTTTCAAACCCAAAATCTAAAGAGACATCCCACTTGTTTCTTCCCATCGAATCTAGAACCCAGGGAAACACCAACCCAACACTTGGTTCCTTCTTTCGAATCCAACACTATAAACATAACACTTGTTTCTTCCCTTCGAATCCAAGAACATCCAGGGCTGCAACTTAAATCCAAACACACATTCCAGCTTCAAGCAAGGTAAGTTCTCTTAATCTTAAACCTTTCGTTTCTAGCATAACATGTGAATAGTCATTTCCTTTCGTTTCAAGCATCACCATTACTCTTCAGTTTGTTTTCATTTCCATTTTCTCCATTTTTTGTCATTGCTAATCTTTTGGTTTGTTTTCTTTGTTTATCAAACACTTTTTAAGAACTAACATGGCCATGAAACAATACTAGCATGACCTCAGGCCATGCTTCTATTTAAATCCCAAACAAAAGAAAACATGAGGAATGATGTGTGAATCGAATCCTTAGGCTTCACCCCTTACTGCTTCACAGTCCCCAAACGAAAGACAAAGAGAGCGTGAACAGAGGATACACACTCATGCTGCTTTGCATGCCCATATTGCTTCACAGTCCAAACGAATGAGCAAGAAGGGAGAAACGAAGGGTGTTCACACTAACTTCCAGGCTCAATTGAAAGAAGTAGCCAGAAGGATGAATCGAAGGCTGCATCTCACGTTGACTACTAGGCCCAAATTGAAAGAAGCCAAAACGAGCAGAATCGAAGGGTGCATTCTTCCTGGATCGAAAAACTTATGTTCCTTTCTTTTGTTTTGTTTTTGTCTTTATATTTTCTTCTATTAAATATGGTTGTAATAGTGTAGGATATTTATTTTCTGCATTTTTATTGCTTTATACAAATGTTAGTAATTAGGATGTATGGCAAGATAAAACGAACAAGTAGACAACTCAAAATCAAAAGACTAAATGCATGCAATTAAATACACTTTGCACACATGCACCTCTAGGATAATCTCACTTGTTGCCTCAGAAAATAGTCATGTCCCTCGAATATGGCGTTTTAGAAAAGACCCTCGATAAAAGATCGTATTCCCTCGATGTTGCCTTTGGTAAACGATCTAGTCTCTAACGAAATTGCTAAAACATCTCACAGGTTGCCTTCTATGACTATACAAATGACCCACGCCCATCCCTTCACATCCAACTATGGGGCTTTTTACCAAATCAATGGTAAAATAGCAATATCTAAAGGAGAAGGAAAAGAGCATTAGACCTTTTGAGTAGGTAGGATACTCGTAGTTGCTTGCTTGCTCACAACTAAAAAAACCATTTTCACACCAACACTTTCAATTGAAACATTTTCAAAAGACAAAGCTCTTTGTACGCATTCTTATAGAGACGAGAATCATTACAAAGGCACTTTTCAAAATCACTTTCAAAAACATCTTCCACAAACAAACACCTCTTTGAACTATTTTCAAAACCAACACTTTGTACGCATTCTTATATAGACGAGAATCATTACAAAGAAGTTTTCAAAATATTTTCAAACTCACACCCCCACAAGCACATTTTTAAACAAAGCAAGTGATCTAGCAAGCAACTAAGAGTCCGTAGATAACTAGGGATGAAAAGGGTGTTAATACCTTCCCTTTTCATAACCTACCCCCCGAACTCAAGAAATAATCTCTAAAGGTCTTTCCTGTTCTTTACGACCTTTCCTTTGTTGGATAAAAGAAAAGTCGGTGGCGACTCTTGCTATCCGCAACAATTACGATCAAACGTAAAACAACCAAGTCAGTTCTCCCACCGTATTACAGTGAGTAACTTGCATGTAACCAGGAATAGACGTAGAAGCCCGATGATAGATTTATGGAGTCTTTTAGTTGTTTTATTTCAACTAAAGAGGGTCTTGCTCTGATATGTAACATCGGGGTCTTTGGGATCGTTTGAATCGAATTATATGTTCCTTGTTGTCATGACGTATTAGGATGTTTTATTTTCGTCTTAAGAAGTTTTAAGTATGACTTATGAATTATGAAGTGTGACAGTATCTTACTTGAAGTATTTAATAAAGAAGTTTTGAAACAATATTTCTGCTGCGATGTGTTGAAGTTTCATGATGACGTTTACAAAGAGCTAAATGTTTTAATTTTTGAAAGTCTGTGTTACGGAGCAAGATATGCATGTATGATGTTTTATATGAAGATGTGACATATTTTTGGTGCATTACTTTGATTTATGAAGATGGAAAGTACATTCACCTGACGAAGCTATGTGTTCGCCCGACAACACAACGCAAACAGGAAAGTCCCTGTGCGTTTTCTGCACTGCACCAGTCCTAATTTCCATACGATTTCACATCCAAACAGACCCAAAACACATACAAATCACATGTTTCCTTCGTACAACAATAATACTTCTTAGTATCCATTACATTCATCAAATCATGACATTATTAGCATCCATTATTCACAATTTCATCAAAGATTCATCATAATCGTCATGTTATCAATTCATCACAAAAACCCCAAACAACCTACATACATATAAACCATATATCAATCATAATAATAAGGATAATCCCCCTTACCTTAGATTATAGCTTTGATCTTCTTCTTCGTTTTCTACCAAAAATCTCGTTGTTCTCTTCCTGTCCTATCTATGTTGCGTTCTTCCAACTCTTTTAACGACCGTACACACTAATACATTTTTTCATTTATTCCTTGTTTAACCCTTGGACCTTTTCTATAGTCTTCTCATCTTACCTCCACTAATCACTTCACTAATTACTATCGTGTCCTTATTATTACCACACCTCATATTATCTGTATTTCACTAATTATAATAATTCTAAATAATTACTCTAATTATCTAAAATTATTAAGACACCTAATATCACTTAATTTCTACTATGCCCCCACATAACATCACATCACACATCATATTCATCAAAACATCACATATACTCACAATCGCATCACAAATACTCATTATAATACAATTAAATAATTAAATAAATAATCTAATTGTTTTGGAATGTTACACAGATCATTTTCAGATGACTCTTTTAATCTGCTCCTATCAGTATTACCCGCAAAGACCTGGAGAACATTCTGACAGATTGAGATATGTCTGGTATCAATGGAGTTACGTTGCTGATTACATGACATGATTCTATAATATGTCACACTCTTACATGACACAGGACGCTTCTAAACGACCACCTAAGTCTTATCAATGAGGAGATCCTAAAGAATGAGCAGACACAAGATGATCATGATGTTACCATCATGTCGGTTACTAGCAAGGGCATCAATTCTGGACTATTCGAGATAGGTGGCGAGGAAGCAATTGAGCTAACACATTTCCATTCTTTTCGAGACACATAATGCATTAGGTTACCATAGGCTGAAGAGATGAGAGGTTGTTTGATTTTTTTAAGATAAAAATGTGACTTCGGAGTTTGCATCTACGAATTTACCCTTGAGATGTATTCGAAGATGCACCTCCAAACTAAAATGATACAAAAAATAATATCTATACATTTAGATATGCATCTCCAAATTCACGCAGGGGCATTTTTGGATTTTTCAGAGAAGCGTCCCATATGGAAAGGAAAGGGTGAGATGAGAAATTGCTGACCAAATATACATACAATTCTAAATGTGTTACTCGTAAATTGTAATTATCTCATGTTACCCACATCTTTAAATAATTATGGCATCAATAACTGTTCTCTCAAAACAATACATTGCACTCAGGACAAACAAACCTCATTTCAAAACATGACAAGCAAACCTTGAGATAACCGGTTTCATAAACTTGGTTTTCCAAATCAAATACGACGACTATACAATGTTTCAATAAGTAAAAAAGAATCATGTCTCTATCTTGAGAAGAGAATTGAGGGAAGTGCTGTTGAATCGTTGAGCAAGTCCTCTAATCACAAGAACAATAACATCCCGAATGTGCCGGGACTGCACCATCAAGTCAGCTTCATTCTCACTGTCCACTACAATTTTTAGACGGTGTTGATCATTCCTGAAAAGCTCCACCTGATATATTCAAAGATTAACACAGGTAAATCAAGGAAATAATAATCTAGCAATGACATTACATAGCTGATGAAGGAAAATGTGTTTCATTTGTCACCCAAACTTACATGAAAGGGAGGGGCATAACTACCACGAATTTCTGTTGTTGGAAAAGAAGTCTTGGTGGCAGGCTTTACCACCTTCACCCTTTTCCTGTTAATCTCAAGAACTCGTCTTTCATATGTGCCCCCTAATGAAACCTGAAATAGAAATTATGATGTCAAAATTAGGAATAGTTCTTTTTGCTTTTCACTAGTTTTAAAATGAATCCATTCCAATTCAAATGAAAACATCACAAAACTATTATTAAAGATACCTTTTTCGAGGTTTGGTCTTTGTCACACAATACCTGCCACAGAAGTAGAGTTTAGCATTTCAGTTAATTAGACAATATGGTTTTACCAACATGTTATATTATTCTCTTGTGAACTACTAAATGTTTCCTTCAGACACCAATACCATAACACCAGCAGAACTAGGGCATGGGATATTTAACTAATTACATGGCCACACTAATGTCGAATAGATATAACCTACCTCAAATTTCACTGATCCCAGATCAAGGTTCTGCTTCACTTCTTTAAGAACATCAGGCTCTGCATGGAATTAGAGGTCAGATATAAATCCTACTAAGATGAAAACTTTTATTCATTTTAAACAAAAATGGCATGTAAAGGCCTTTCAATAATGATTAATATAGGAATTCCATTGTTTTAGAGCCTGATTTTACAAACGCTTAAATGTAAAAGAATTCCAAACTATTGGTGAATCTTGTCCATAACAAAAAGATAACACTGCAGAAACAGTAGATAATGCAGAAAAATGAAAAGGCATGCGCAGAACAAAACACCACCAAATTTTGAAAAGTTTGCAACTACAATTAAAGATCAGACCACAGTTTACATTCCAGACAAATTACTTGGAATTTCCATATCTCACAGCACTAGGATTATCACCCTAGAAATGGATTTCCTTATTCCAACCGTGTAATCAAGAAACTGAATACACAGTCCAATTTCATTTTTGTTTCAATATGATAGAAACATCTACAAAGAAAGGTTTATTGAATGAGTGATTTAATATATAAGAGACCTCTACTCCAACTGTTTCCCTCTTCTACAAAGGATCACTCCACTCATTAATTCTCCAAAATACAGAATACCCACCCTCTCTAACAACTTAACTTCTTTATATGTTCTTTAACTCCCTATTTCATAACATGGTCGCACTTCACAATTATTCTATTCGACCTCATTTTGATCTCTTTTTATATTTCTAACATGCTATGGTTTTAACCACTAATTCAATCATTGAATGTTCTCATAACTCATTGCTATTAACTATAACTATGTCTTTACAACAAGACCAACAACAATCAAGCCTTATACCACTAAATGGGGTCGCCTACATGGATCAAATTTCGCCATAATGTTCTATCCAAGACATTGTTCCTATCCAATTTGTTTTTCTAGATCTTTCTTAAATGCTACTATAAACATGTCTTTGATTTAAGAAATTTTATATTTCTAAACATATTATAACACTTTTCTTCAATGGCAAATAATGTTATACCACCCGCACTGTTTTAGGGGTTGGCTACCTCATGCAGTGATCAGAGATTGGTGTATTGTAAAAATACAGTGTGTTATAGTTATGAATTCGTAATCATAAATATAAAAACTAGAAACCAACAAATGTTTGGCAACTCACCGTAGTGTACTATATAATGTCAAAAGACAATTTACTAATACATCAAATCATGTTATCATTTAGATAAAGACTTTCAACTTACCAACTGCAATTGGATCTGTGGATACAGAAACTGATTGGCCCTCTACACCATCCTCTCTGACAGGAGTGTAGATGGCCACCAACCTATACCCAACATCATCAACGTTTGCTTCATACATTCTGTCCGTTTCTCCTGAAGTTAGATAAAAAAAAACAGTTCAATTAACATAGAGACACAATAGAAGAGAATATTGTTCATGTAAGGTTAATCCAAAAAGCACGGGCACAGCTTACGGGTTGACACATGTGCATATAACAATCCTATTTTGCATGACTAAAAACATTTTAAGCCATTTCATGCCAAAGAGAATAAAAGAGATTTTTATGATAAAATAAAATTCATATGTCAAAGTAATCTAAAAAAATAAACAACCACACTAGAAGAAAAAAGCATTCTTTTTCACCACTATCTTTTTTCTTACATTGCAACAACCTCAATAGGATTGTCGTGTTTTTCAGGAAAAAAAATACCAATCCTAATTTAGTTTGAGTTTAGATTCAAAATCGGTGTTAGTAGTATTTTTCATATATACAGTTCATTTGGTTTATGTATTGAAATACCAATCACTTGCTCTTCAAAAGAAAAGAAAATGCAACTTAGTTCAATTGGTTTATGTAATGAAATTCAGTAGCTGTACTTCTCTACAGCTTTAACTGGAAACTCTCTTTTTAGTGATCTAAAGGATTTAGCATACCTGGTATGGAGATCAGATCGGGACTTCCAACCATTGATCTAAGCCACTGGACTCGGCTTTTGCCTTCCTTCCCACCACTATAAATGCCACAGACAGCATAGAGATTGGTATGGAATCCCCTTCCCTCAATCTCCAGCTTGTGTATTCTAGGAATCCCTAAGAATGCACATACAATACTTATAGCAAAGCATAAATCATGACGAAAATGCAAGGGAGAATCAATCATAAAATAAATGGCCATAATGTTAAAACACTACTTTTGCATTAGATAGCACAAGAACTCCAATTTTGCCAGATAAAAGAGTCAATTCAATTACATATTTTAAATGGTAAATTCACTGTGTCATTTTTCTGAGAAAAGGGAGACACTTCCTTAAATGTGCAACTTGACTACCTATAAAGTACTTCAGAGCACCAAAGTAAAAAAAAACTTTGAAGTACCGATACATCATAATCATTGTCTGTGGCCAGTGTGTCATCCACATACACCTAATAATCAAGCATCTCACAAGTCTCTAAATTCCATATTAAATGATATGCAAAGCATACCGAGGCCATTAATCACATTATTATAAAATTATTTTAGCAGGTATTAAACAGGAGAGCTGCTGGCAGACATGCCGACTAAAGCGCCAGTTTGTAATCAGGTTAAGTATATTTGTGATAAGCTAAGCATTGTTAATAATAGCATAACAGCTTGAGTACAAAAAATAAAGTTTCCTACTAGTTGAGGTTGAGTGCATGAAACAAATGATATTCCATAATATCGTGCACTTGACGCCTCTCTAGAGAGTAATTTAATTTAGGGGATGGGGTAATTTAACCACAAATTGATGTTCAAATACATCATATCTACTAACCATCCAAATTGTGGTCAAGTATACATGACTTTCAAATGTTTAAATATAGATCATATCCATTAACCATAACTTGTGTTCAAGTTTACACATGATAATTGTAGTTAACGATGTTCGAAAATGTTAATTACGTTTAGTAGATGTTTAATGAGTTGTGGCGATCTATTAAACATTAACCATCCACTTAATGAAATTAATCACATTTGAATTGCATTAACCATATAAATTGTTGTCAAATTTGTGTGTCAAAACAACACAGCTCTTATAGTTGAGCTTACTTGTGTAGTGTTGTTTCCACTACAGTAATTACCTATCCATACAAACACATGAAGCCTGACAAATGTCTAGTTAGTGAATTCTATTCTCTTTCTAGGCACCCTTTCTTTTTAAATTTCTCTGTACACTACTTTTTTTGGTTGTTCTCAACATCTCATGCACAACCATGACCTAACTAAATAGGGAAACTATAATTTTAGGGTACAATGTGCAAAAAGAGTATAATGGCAAAGCAAGAAAGCTTATGCACTCAGGCAATTACCTGGCAATACAGGACTAGTCTCAATGTATACCACCTCACCCGACCGTCCAAACACATCAGTTACAACACATTCACATTTTAAACAACGGCCAATATCCTCAAACCGCACCCTATATGAGCAAGAACTTTTATTGGGTAATGGCTCATATGAAAAACTGTCTCCCACTTCTGATGAACAAAACCTGCAATAATATTGATGTTAAACAAATAATGGGTTTTGACTAAAATCATTGCAAGTTTGCAACTGTTGTTCTCATCATAATATAGATATAAATACCACCACAAATATAATTGTTACTTGAAAGAAATATTGAACCACATGGAAAAAATATCATCACAAATGTAATTGTAACTGCTATCTGCATAATCATCATTTTCGTCTGAGCTCACAACTGCTCCTTTCAATATATTAAGATTTGGTACATTTTTTATTGAATCACGTCTGAAAGCCACCTTGGCATGTTACTGGTGCCTGATCTTTATTGCAAAACAAATTCAATATCCCTCGGATGAATTTTTTGCAAAACAAATGTTTCAGGTAGAGAGACAATGTAGGTGAATTATAGTTCTTAAATAAAAATATTTAAAAAAATCCAAGTTGTGTCGGAATCTTAGTTTTCTAGGAAATGATTTTCTTCTTTTTATTATTTATTTTACATAGTATAATATATTTATTATTATCTGATATAAATGTTAATTCTCTATTTCTTTTTTTTATGATTGACATTAATTTTAGTAAAACAAATTAGGCAGCAACATGTTAAATAGGATGTTCTAACTTGCAAGGAAAACATGTTGAACAAGATGTCCTATGCAAAATCATTTGACATCGTGTCCGTTACAGCTGGACTTTTAGATCCTGTTAGTTTGTTACAGATACAGAATAGTCTAAGAATATTATGATATCCTATGTGGCGCTCAGTTTAAGGATTAAGATATTCAAGCTTAATTCAAAGAGTTTTCTTAGTTTCTAATTATGGAGATAATTTAGGAAACTAATGATTGAAGTCCTATTTTCATGAAGGAGTTTTAACAGACTTTGTGCAATCTCTTTGCTACGTTTTTTTAACCCAATCCAGCCCAGGAACAGGTTATAAAAAGGAAGTCTCTATACCTAAAGAAAATACAAGCCAGAGTTGTAAAAGTATTAATCTTTAGGGCTTCGTCTGTTTATTGTTTTGTTGTGAGTCACTGTTGTATTGTTTGTTACTTGAGTTGGACTGTTAGTTGAGTTGTAATTGTGAATCACTCATAAGCTTTTAAGCAAGAGTGAATTCTGTTTATTGGAGAATGTCTTCTTCTTGATTGTCAATCACTCTTAAGCTTCTAAGTATAAAGTGATTGTGTGTTTGTGAAGTTTGTCTTCTAACTCGTTTGAATTGTGTTCTTGTCACTGTTTGTGACTGTCAGGAAAATGAGAGGGGTCTCATACCTAGGTGAGTCATAGGTAGAAATATGCACGGGATAGTGATTAAGTGAGAAGTTGTAAACGGGGGAGTTTAGCTTCGAATTGATATTATTTAGTGGATTTCCTTCCTGACTTGGTAGCCTCCAGAGTAGCTTGTACACCAAACTGGGTTAACAATTTTGCGTGCTGCTTACTTTCTGCACTATTTTTATTGAGTTTTATCTTGTTCATTGTGTTGAAGTTAGATTACAGTGTCTCGACATCTCTTAGAACATCTATGATCTGAATATCAAAATTTCAATTGGTATCAGAGCAAGCATCTTGCTCTGTCTCTGGGTGAGATTCAGGGAAGATATTTTATGGTAAAATGGACAAGGAAAGTGGATTTGTGAACAAAAGCTCTATGTAAAAGATTAATTTGAAGAAGACATATTCTGAGGTGATGAAAAGGGGTTTCAGTGGTAACACTCATAAAACCTGTGACAGAATCAAGGATTGCAGGAGGTTATTTGATAGGGGCATGAGGTGAAAGATCATTTGAAGATGATCAAGATTGGTTTGTTTCCAATGCTAGTGTGTTTCTGCTACTGCTGATGGTGATATGTGTGATGTCTTACCAAATATTATGACATCTTGCCTGATGTGTGAACTTGGACAAGTCATATTGTTGTTTGGGTGGACCCTTGAGGGGGAGTATTGATTATTTGTGACAGGTGCTTGTGTGCAAGGGTGTTTGGGTTGTGCCTGAAGGACACTGGGGAGTTTTTTTTTCGTGTTCCGCTGCATGTGTATCTGATGTAAAACCTCTGATAGTTCCTTGTGTCTCTGTAGTCCAGGCTATAGAAATGACTATTCTTGGAATACCAATAAGGGAAAAGCATTATGATTTGGTCTTCTCTGAAGGTTTATCCTATGATGTTGTGATACTTAGAAGATAGCTTCAACTAGGATATTAAAGTTGCCAAAGATACATGAGGTTCATCTCAAGTTCATTCATAAAGACGCTTCCAAAGGTGGCTGATGAAATAAGTTCTGAAGGAAAATTGATCAAGGAATGTTCTGATTCTCTGGGAAAAGTAATGGCTTCAGAACCAAGCTCAATTATGTGTGCAGAACCCTGTTGGACAAAGCTATGGCATAGCATATGCTCTAGGCACTAAACAGATGTGTGTTGATCGCATATGTTTGGAACCTTCTCCTGAGTTTGAAAAAGCATTTGGGTTGTATGTCTAATAAGTTTATGTCCAAGAAACACGTCTTAGATGAGAGGACTGGTCAAGAGATGATCAACCTATTGATTACTTCTTGGGTCAGTTTATTTCTAATCCAAGTAAGTAGGAGTGCAGTGGTTGAGCTCTAACTTCTAGTGGAGATTCGATATCTCAACCAGATTCTTTATATATGGAGGTCAAGCTCAAATGTCGAGGACATCTTCTCTGACATCTGGAAGACTCTTCTGATCAAATAGGGTCGGATTGAGTTGGAGAAAGGGGACTTTAAGCAATAACTGATCTGGATGGCTAGCTGGTGGCTCTCTTAAACAGGATGAAAGGAGGTGGTCACTCAAACTTGAGATCATTATCAAGACTGTGAGTTGAGTAAATGATAAAATCATGTGATTGAGATTGAAGTCTGAATTGGTGTTGGAATATCATCTAGGCACTAAACAGATGTGTGTATTTGTCAAATGTACTAGTCAGAGTTATTAATCATTAGTGTTGTATATCACCAACAGATTTGTCTTCAAGTGTTGTATATCTGAGTTCTGCTCGTAGTTGTCTTGCTTTCGCACGTGTAAGCTTTTGAAAATGCACAAGAATACGTTTCCAGAGCTCATAGGAATGAACGCATCCAAGAACGCGTGACAGAATCGAAGATGAAAGCATGGATTTAAGCCACGTCATAAGCCATTGATCTTGCGTAATCCAGGTGCGATACGCAGGGTTCTCACAAGCAACTGCACAATCTTGCGTAAAGATTAAGATATTCAAGCTTAATTCAAGGAGTTTTCTTAGTTTCTAATTATGGAGATAATTTAGGAAACTAATGATTGAAGTCCTATTTTCATGGAGGAGTTTTAGCAGACTTTGTGCAGTCTCTTTGCTACATTTTAGAAGCCCAACAATCCAGCCCAGGAACAGGTTATAAAAAGGAAGTCTCTATACCTAAAGAAGATACGAGTCAGAGTTGTAAAAGTATTAATCTTTAGGGTTTCGTCTGTTTATTGTTTTGTTGTTAGTCACTCTTGTATTGTTTGTTACTTGAGTTGGATTGTTAGTTGAGTTGTAATTGTGAATCACTTATAAGCTTTTAAGCAAGAGTGAATTCTATTTATTAGAGAATGTCTTCTTCTTGATTGTCAATCACTCTTAAGCTTCTAAGTATAGAGTGATTATGTGTTTGTGAAATATGTCTTCTAACTCGTTTGAATTGTGTTCTTGTCACTAGTTGTGACACAGTCAAAAGTGAGAAGAGTCTCATACCTAGGTGAATCTTAGGTAGAAATATAGCACGGCTAGTGATTAAGTGAGAAGTTGTAAACGGGAGAGTTTAATTTCGAATTGATACTATTTAGTAGATTTACTTCCTGGTTTGGTAGCCCCCAAAGTAGGTGTTGTTGTACACCGAACTGGGTTAACAATTCTACTTATTGTTTACTTTCTGCACTGTTTTTATTGTGTTATATCCTGTTTATTGTGTTGAAGTTAGATTATTGTGATAAACTTGCAGACTTCAACCTAGGTTTGTGAACTCAAATGAAAATGGTAATTATACAGCTAGTAGGAGTGACTACCAGCTATTACTGTATTTGACACCAGGGAATAAATTAAAAAGCAAATTGTTCAATCAGAAATATTGTAGTCCTGCATCAATGTAAAGTATAAGACCATACCATTGGTATCTTATATCTTTCTTGTACTTGCTCCAAACATGTTGCTGCATCTCACTATTAGGAATCACTTCAACAGCTGTAAGTAAGTCACCTTCAACTGCCTTTCCGGTCAGAGCAAGCATTTCTGCATATGGAAGCTCTAGAGGACAATGCAAGAACCCCAATTACTTATCAAGAACAACTTATAACTTTGAAGATTAACAAGTATTTTACCATAAAAAGAAAAAATTCAACTTAGAAAATTACAGATTTGCATAATGGTTACCTGGGAAAACAATGTCAGTTGGATCAGATAACTTGAGTTCACCCACAACTGAATCTGAACGAACTGGAGTATATCTGAAAGGAAGAAAAAACATTAACACATAGTAGAAGTTGGGTTCCAAGCATAACTCAACCCCACAAATCAGATAGTAAGTTTAGGACTTCCTAAGACTTATAATCACTACGTAGACCATATCTCTATTTAACGTGAAACTTTAAACATACACCTTCGCACTTAGGGCTAAACACTTCAAGTGTGGATGAATACAGATGGAATAAGTGAATAACAAGAAAAGAAATACACCTCTTAATTGGATATCTGGAATGTCAACAAATGTTGGTGGAATAATAGAAATCTTGACCCAATAAGAGACCAAAATAGTCTCTAATACCATCTTATATTATAGGCTTAACCCACCCCTACAAAACCGTCTTCTAAAGTGAAGAATGTCCAAACTTTGATTAGCTCTTACTAGGCCATATGCTCTATAATTAATGTGGGACCCAAATTTTTTTCCAATACACTGCCATACGCTCAATGTTGTCGGGCTTGGTACATAGATAATATGGACGACCCAGTAAAAGACCTATGATAGGCTCCAATATCATCTTAGAATTTGGGTTGAGACCCAAAAAAACTGACTTGTACGAGGGCTGTTCAAGCTTTCTATGCATTAACTAGACCATATCTCTGATTGATGTGAGACTCTCAATAAGTATCAACAGGATATTTTGAACAAAATACATCTTAATTGTTTATCTTGATGAATTACAGGGTTTACGTGTAGAGAGAGTAAAGGAGAGGAGTTTCTCAAATGATATTCGGTTGATGTGATACATGATGTGAAACAATACTACTATTGTAAGCAACCTCTTTATGCAGATGATTTGGTCATGCACTAGTCTATAAAAGCAGTACAAGCCTAAGCCTGCTAAGAAAAATAATAAAACAAATTGGGGAGAACTTGTATATTTTTATGGAAAATCGTATCATCTCCCTATTGCAAGATAATTTATTCCAAATATTTTAAATTAATTGCAAAGATATCCAAGTTTTACAATATTCTGAGATATTATAACATGAAAAGAGCACAATCACATACTAGGTAACCTTGTGATAAATTTTAAAGTTCAAACACTAAAATAAAATGTCATATGGACTATCACAGCAGTGCGCATGCATAGAAATTCGATGTACAGGGAAGTTTTCACTCTTACATAATTCAATTTCACCCCTATAGAATAAAATTAGTTCCTACATTTGCTGCATGGTCATTTTAGAGCATTGTTTTATACTATTTCGAATCACTTATCCTGAGCTAGATCCCAGGGTCAGAGCACAGTCAAGAAAAGGCCAACGGCTCAAAGAGCACTTAAAAAAGATACTTATATATTACCGACCAACAAGATCTTTACATCAGCAAAAGGATTCAAACCGACAATCTTGTGGGATGAGTTGAACCTTAGCAACTGGACTAACATATGTTGGAATTTTGAATCACGTACTGACCATTGTACATGAGAACGAAGTTATGATGCCATACACTTGTAATTAAAATTTTAAAAGGTGGTTTTAACAAAAAATATTTAACCTAAATATTTTACACATTCAAAATCAATTCCTTCCAAAACCAATTCTAAATAACTCTCTAAATCTGATGTGAGAGAGAAATAGCATTAAAAAAAACTATCTCCCCCCATACTTTGAACCTGAGAATTTTACGAAGTTGTTAGGTTTATCATGCCATATCATTCACGTTCTTCATGGTAAAACATGAAAAGCTAAAGAATAATCTAGAAACATTACCCAAACAACAAACGAAAAGTGTAATCTGAATCAGTTACTTTGTAGGTTCTAGAGTTTGCTCCATTAATCAGCTCAACAGTCCCCTCACTGTCTTTTCTATACCAGCTAAGAAGGCTTTCTCCTTCATATCCACCAAAATATTCACCTTCACCAGAGTAAATTCCCAAAGACAACTCTTTCACGCATACATTAGCAACTACTGGAGGTGCTGCAAATTGATATAGGAGTAAGACAACAAAAAGTACTAAATATCACACTCTACATCAGATGTAATTACACAGAACCCGCATTAAAAGCATCAGACACAATTAATAAAGGACTTCAAGCTACGAGCTACAATTATACCAGGGGAAACTGGGGTGTTGCAAATTGCAACCAAAGGCTCTCCACAAGTACTGTCCACACGAGTTGGCACCCAATACAAGGCCAAAAAATATCCAACATCTTTAAGAGTTGGTTTATACGTTCTGCCATGACAAGGAAAATAATCCTCAATTTCATGTAAATATATAATTTTTCATATAATAATTACTACAATACATTATGTTGGTACTTACAGCTCTGTCCCACATATCTCAGTGTCAGAAGCATTAGATATATTTAGTAGTGCAGATCCTTCAAGCTTAATCTTTGTCCTGTACCAAATATATTCTCCAACTCCTTCATGTCCACCAAAATATATCCTAGATGGGGTAACCTGCCTGTCTTCGCAACAGTCAGAAATTGTGAGCTCTATTCCCTTAGGATCCGCTGAGCTCAGAAGACAAAAGAACAAATTAGTTACATAAGAGATGTATATATCCATTACACAATAATATAGAATTGATACATGCACACAAACTTACACAGTTATGAAGCACGGACACGATACGAGTATCAGATGCGATACGTATCCGATACGGGGATACGTCACTAGTTGAAAAATAACAGATACGATACGTTTAAGATACGTATATAAAAATTATAATTAAATATTTTGTTAAATCGTAGTTTAACAAAACCAAATTCATAATACAATTTTAACATTAGTAGGTTGTTGAAAAATAGAGCGGCTTCCAAATCTAGTTCATAAAGTCGGAGAAGATGAAGGAAACTCTGAAAAGAAAAAAGTAACGTTGCAATAAAAACATTCTATTATAAATAATACTAATAAGTAGTAATTAATATGAATGAAATTTTAAATAGTAGTATTGATAAGAAGTTTGGGAAATCAAACCAATTTTGATAAATGGTAATCATCTATAAAGAATTAATTAGAACATTAAAGAGAATGACTAAAATGAAGGGTCATTTAAAAAGGGAATAAAGGGTTATTAAAATGAAAATCTGATAAAAAAAATGAAGAGTCACGTATCTGAGGAGTATCAGAGGCGTATCGTTGCCGTATCGGAATTTATTTATTTTTTTTTTTAAATAAATAAATTTGGATACTCCTTCTATACGTATCAGCGCCGTATTGGAGCGTATCGGCGTATCGGTACGTATCGGATACGATTCGGCAGAGTTTTTGAAGTATCGGTGCTTCATTGGTACACACGCAACAAAAACAAATTAAAAAAACCATCCATTAACCAGGATATGTAGGCACAGATGACAATCATTCAGAACTTTCAAACAATTCGATATACTGCAACAGCTCATCAAAAATATGATGACAGAGTGATCAGTGTACTTAGTACTACAGTTGAAAAAGAAATATATATTAAAATATATTAAGGTTTTGTTTGAGAATTCAGAGGGGAGGGGACGGAAGGGCTTTGAAGAAAAGGAACAATGAAGTGGAAAGAACTGAAGGATTTGAGAGCCTTGGGGAGAGCTTTGGAGGACTTGCTTTTCTTCATAGCCTAAAATTCCCCTAATTTGGAGAAACTAAAAAATTATATTGGAGAGGGGTTTTTGAGAGGTTAGACAAGCTCTTCAAATCTAATCTACATTGTTATAATAATTTAAATATTAAAAATATGTTAATAATAAGTATTCATTTATCATTTTACACAAAAGCTCTCTTTCAAAACTAGTTAAAGATTTACCTATTTTCCTCTCTAATCATCTCCTTTCTAAGTCCTCACTTCCCCTCCCTCCAAACTCCCAAACAAAGCCTAAAGATTTTAGATTTTAGAAGTATGATGAAATTCAAAGTCAATAACTCTTTTATTAATTATTCATTAAGTAGCGAAGATATTATTTTGTCAAAGATTTACCCTATTGAATTAATAACAATTAATTTTTATTTAGTTAAAGTATATTAATATACTTGGTTAAAGTAATTATCATAACAGATATCACTGATTGTATCATGGAATCCAGCTATAAAATTACGGCCATGTTACATAAAATTCACATTAATTTTCCAATAGCATGCACAAAACAATCTTACCAGGAGAAATCATATCAGATACCACATTCTTTGGGTTGCCTTTAGTTCCATCTTTGCACACAGGTGTGAAGACAAGCTCAATGTAGGCACCAACATCATCAAGAGTCAAATCCAAAAAATCTGCTAATCACAAATATCATATCAAGCATTTAAGTTTTCCATAACAAGTGCAGTGACCCGTGCCATACACTGGTATACGTTAAAATATATAGTACTTTTGTACATTATTTATCAAAAGATTAAATGAATACTACACTTGGTCATCTATTGTTGTGAAAAACTACACTTGGTCATAAATAATAATAACAATTACTCCATAACTACATGAAACTCACCTTGAGTTTTTATTTTCTCTCGTAGACCATGGTCTTTTACCCTAAACCATTGGTGGGTGCATTCTCCCCTCTCCCTGAAAGGTGACCAACAGACCCCATGTGAGGGTAAGAAAACACTTATAAAATCAAAAGCAGAGACATGAATTTATAAACATTGGATGTAGAAGCCTGACCCTCCGCTATACACAGCATTGAAATTCAATCGCCGCCCTTCTATCATTGATCCAAGAATTTCCAAAGTATGACATGTTGGTGGACCTAATTTGCATTGCAAGTGCAAAAAAAAAATTGCTTTAAAAAATCTCCATTCTACATGAACATTTTTAAGCAGGCAGAGGATATTAAGAAACAAGAACTGATCAATACCAGGTATTATAGGTCCAATTTGTTCAGAGAGAACAATGGGCCCGCGAGCCCAATCACTTCGGACAGGCTCACAAGAAACAGAAATAAAGAAACCGATATCATCAATGGAGAGCATATATGATGCTGTGGTGGCTCCCATAATTTCACTTTGGACACCCTCAGAACTGGTCTACATAAAGCCAAAGATAATAAATTAGTTCACCAAATATTTAAAAGAGGATAAGAAAACAAAGTGAAACCGACTGCGCTATTTATGCCATTATTCAGTGCATATGGCAATCACAAAGGGAAGTCTGTCTCCATCTCTGCTTTATTATCAAAAGAGTTCAGATATGCTTAATTCACCTTTCTTACAATAGTTTAGATAAGTCAGTTAGAATTGTGTTAGGTTCGTAGCAATAATCTGTTACTTTCAATGAAATAATGTCTTTTTCCTATAATACCTTGGCGATTTATTATCTCATTTCACCTTTATCTCATAAATAATCAAGGATATTATTGACAAATCAATAATTAATATTTCATTGAACCTTGAAAACAAAAACAAAATAGAAACAAAATTCTTATACAAATACTACATATAAAACAGATTTGAAAGAGTACCAACTTGAAGAGAATACTGAAAGACTCGAATTTGAGAAAGCTAATATTTATTTTAATCATGTTTTACACCAATTTTTGAAAAGGAGTTTATAACTCGCAAGCCCGTGTCAAAATACACCACAAAAAGTAGGACCACCAATTTGGGTTTGTATTATTTGTTCATGTTAGTAGTTAGGATGAGGAAACTCTAACCAAGAGCTCTTAAGATATGTTTCTAACAGGTTTGCTTCCACTTTGAAAGGATACAAGTGTTTCCACATTCCTTGGTTACCCACTCCTCCTAATCCTTCAGTTATGTACCAAGTACAAACCATACATCAAAGTTAGTTAAGTGGATAAATCCTATGAATCTATAGTGTAAACTCAGCTTATGGTTGAACTGAATACCACAAAATAGGCGTGAGGGCGGGTGTTAAAGTCTGTAATTGTATTGTTAGAGTTTGTTTGAAGTCCCACATTGTTTAGGTTTCCCGGCTGTAAAACATATAAATATGTGAGGGCAACCTTACTCTTTGAGCTAGCTTTTGAGGGATGAGATCCAAGCATATTTAACAATTTCATAATAATATAAAACCTCCTAAAACACCTCACTGCATAATTACATGTTACTCTCCTAATAATTACATATATGATTCTATTGTAAAATAACATATTTACAATATCATAGCCTATAGTAGATCCGCTAGGCCAATTCTAATCTTGATTTTAGGCAACTCGAATCACACTCTAAATTTTCAGTCTTGGAGAAGAGGGGGTGTTGAGAGTCAACCATCGGATAGTGGTATGGCATGAATAATGGTTATAAGTGGGGCCAACCCTTTCCGTCTCGGCTAGTGTGGGATCAAGTTAAGCTCAACCCACCCAAATGTTTAGCATTTGTATAGGTAACAACTAAAAACATCTTTCAATTTTTTCCTTACAAATATTTGAAAACAAAAACAAATTAAATAAAAAAGTGGTGTTTTGTAATTAAATTTCAAAATAGGAAATGAAAACAAAATGTTTTGTCAAATTCTAATCTTGACTTTAGGCAACTCGAATCACACTCTAAATGTTCAGTCTTGGAGAAGAGGGGGTGTTGAGAGTCAACCATCGGATAGTGGTATGGCATGAATAATGGTTATAAGTGGGGCCAACCCTTTCCGTCTCGGCAAGTGTGGGATCAAGTTAAGCTCAACCCACCCAAATGTTTAGCATTTGTATAGGTAACAACTAAAAACATCTTTCAATTTTTTCCTTACAAATATTTGAAAACAAAAACAAATTAAATAAAAAAGTGGTGTTTTGTAATTAAATTTCAAAATAGGAAATGAAAACAAAATGTTGTCAAACAAAATAGGCCAGTGCCAATTTAAATCAAAATTGGAATTCCAAACAAAGACTTTCACTACGCAAAAGGTTCAAAGAAAAAGTACCCTAAGCCAGCGGTAAACTGAATCTCCCTCTTCACCGCCCCAATATGTTTTTTCAATTCTTAGTGTTGTTCCTTCAACTGCATTTCCAACTGTGCATAAAGAAAGCAATCTTGGGCTTCCTGGTCATTATGAAACAACTCCACCATAAGAAACACAATACAAAAATCCGGGATGATTTTGGATAAAGCAAGAGGAATAAATTGCATGATTGAAAAAATAGGTGATGCATGTTTATTGTTGGTAATTCAGTGTAGACGAGACCTTTTGGTGGGCTTGTATTGATATTGGTGTCTTATTTACAATTTGAAAGTATGAGAAAAAAATATGATTTAATCAGTCAACACAAGTATGTATTTATATCATGTAAAGTATTACTTACAAAGCAATCTTCTACTAATTGCAGTTGATCAAACTTCTCACCAGAATCCATAACACCTAATAGTGCTCACTATAGATATGATTAAAACTAATAACTGTAATTGTATTGCTTTGGGTTCTCCTCAAGAAAGAAATGATTCTAATTTCCAGTATTGGAGGGACGAGAAATTTGCAAATTTACCATATGGATTTATGTACAACTTTGTATGGCTGCTAACTTGCACAATGCTCTAATCTTTCATTTTTACCTATTCTGGATGGACCCAATTTATACCAGATCTGAATGATCATGAGGCTTTCAATCTTGGTTCCTTGTTTGCCACTCTGGCATTTTATAATCTCATGTATCCTTGTGCTAGGGCTTCAGATCATGTTAATTAAAATCATAATTAGAATAAGGGAAATGCTAACGAGTGTCCTAGGGGCACTAATTAAATGCTTAAAGTAGTAAGATTTTTTAGGAATGCGTGTAATCAATGCATTGGAAATTGGAATAATTGATATTTATAAAGAAAATTTTCTATATTTGGTAATCCTTAAAGATGCTCTCAGGACACTCGTTAGCATGACCCTTAGAATTAATATTTCCCGTTACATTTGTTAATGTAGTTTACATAGATAGTCCTATTTTCCTTATTTTCAGAGATTTTCATCAATATTGTTTATCTCAGATAGCGTCGTATAGCACCAACTTCCTAAAATGCTATAGTGCAAAGATTAAAAACCAGTATGCAAAATAAACATAAATTGAAAATACACAAAATTATAGAGAACTTCATATTTAATAATTAAAAAATCTAAGTACAGATCAATAAAACTTATATATAGAAGAAAAACATTAAAAAACTGAACCAAAAGTAGGAAGATCGCTAATTTTTCTGCAAATAGATCATTGACTTTTTCCTATGTCAGACTTGTTCAATGACTGTTTTTCTCTTCAAAGTTGATTTTTATTGAATTATTTTTTCTTTGTATCTGTTTTTTTAGTGGAAGCTTCTTGATTCTCCATCTTTACTTTTATATGAATAAATACTTCTCACATCAGAAATTTCTAGCTTACATGTTATTAATGTAAATTTCATTTTTATATAAAAACAATAAAGAAATAAAACAAATTTTGCCACATAGGCCTTATAATATGTATTACCAGGCCGAATGCGTTCCTGGCCCATGCAAATTCTTTTGTCACCCACAACACCATCATCCCGAACAGGAGTACACTGGAATGAGATGAATTTTCCAATAGCTTCTTTGGTAATGCGATACTGCAGAAGTCCAGAAACCCCGGGTATCTGAGAACCAAAATCACCTTCAACCTGGAAATTTAGAAGATATTTTAGAGATTAAGTTCTCAATCAGAAGGACAATTTTCATAGATTGGAATGCTAATTTTCATATTTGTTGCTAGTAGCGCAAAGTACTACTGTTTTCCAGCCCATTCGATAAATTTCCCAATCCATTTTCTTGTTTTCCGATAACTACATCCAAAATACGCCAAAATACATGAAGTAGAGATGAAGACAAAAAAGTCTCCTCAACATTATAGCTATGACGCAGAGACACCTAAAATGACATGTCGGCATTGCTAATACATGAAGTAGGAAAGAAGGAAAAAAAACTCTCCTCGTCGTTAAAGCTATGAAGCAGAGACACCTAACATGACATGTCGACATTGCTTATGTAAAAAATATAGGACATTGACATGACACATCGTAGGTATTAGGTTCTCCTCACATTTAGAAAATAAAAATAAGCATATTTTGCGGAACTTTGATGCAAGTGCATACCTCGTGAAAATACCAATTGTATATACTTTTTCCTTCATGACCTCCAACATATCCATATGAAGCCGTCAATATTCCATCCTCACAGTAATCTCCAATGATTGATAAGAAATTTAAGCTTGGGGGAAGTGCTGCAAATGAGATGCAAAAAGTTTTTATTTCAAACTACAGATAGACTTTTAATTTAAGAATAAATTATTTTGATACTTCAAGGAATCAGTTGATACATGGTGTGTTTGGTTTAGCATTGACCCACATTCCAAGGCACATTCAATGTCAATGCAACAAATAGTTTTCGTAAACTCAAAGAGTTGTATGACCTCTCCCAACGCCAACTCAAACACACAAATACATTATAACTTTATATACTTGGTAGTATATATGACAGAAAAAGAACAAAAGGGAGTGCAAAGAGACAAGTAAACCTACTCTCAACTGCTCTATCAGATATTACAAATGTTGGTTCCCCGGGATCACCATCAGGAGTCATCGGTGTATATTTTGCAACAATGTAACATCCAACAGCTCCAAGAGGAATCCGAAATGCCTGACGACCAAGTCAAAACAAAACAATAAATTGGAAGGTAGTGCATAGAGGGGGAAATTGTGCAACTCAATGGAAAACATCCTGAACTCCAAGCCAAAACAACAGCCCACTTACTTTAGCAATTTTAGAAGTACTTAATGCTTCAAGATTGCTTTCATCCAAAGTTGGCAAATATGTTTTGTACCATTGAACTCTACTAGATCCTTCAGTTCCTCCAGTTACAGTACCAGTTGCAGTGACTTTTCCATTCTCTCGTAGATCACCAATTATTTTGACATTTGTTACTTTTGGCGGAGCTGAAATTGAGAGCAGAGCATTATAACCACATGCCAATTTCCAGTATATATTTAGCAGAAATTTTATTTCTTAAAATCATGCCCAGCAAACATTTCATCATATTCACAGAAGAATGGGAAAGAACTAAATACACACACCTAACTAATAAGCAACACAGTAAATATTCTTTGTCTTGTGAATTAAGAACTGACTTCTCACGTTCCTTCTATGAATTAAGAGCTGACTTCTCATAATACTAATGATACAATGAAATGCTATAAATGTTAACCAAACTCTCTTTTTTTTAAATATACACAGGAATAAGATTCTCATCATTATATTCCAAGGAAAAGTAAATCGCAAAAAAAAAATTAAATTTACATGACTAGAAACAAACATTCCCCAAAAGCATAATAAAATGGAAATGATGCATAACAGAAGTACCCAAGTATAGGAGACATTGGTAATAATCTTTAAGATACCTTGTTTTACAACAGAGGATGTCGCTGACAACGATTTTCCTTCCTGACCTGAAAGAGAAACCAATGACGATATTATAGAAATACATGACAATTAAATAGAATGGATATATTGATTGTGTCGAGCCCAGATACCAAACCTTCAAAATTAATCGGTATGTATATAAAAGTCAGACAACAACCAACATCTTCTTTGGTCAAGGTATAATCAGATGTACCAGCAGACACTAACAGAAAATCTCTGCATAGATTAGTGATGAAAGTTAAGGGGGACAATAAAAGAGAGAAATTTTAGGTAAAAATAAGGTGTTAACTATCCTCTAAAGCATCAAAATGAATGCAACATTTCACTTTCCAATTAGTGGAAGCACAAATCAAAGACAAGAATACTAGACTTTATTTTTTAAGTAGTACTTCCATGCCCTTCGGAAAAGCATGATGAAGAGAATACTGACCCAGTATCCCTGTTCTTTCGTAGCCACTCAAACTTGCTAGGCCCCTCCCGTCCACCAAAATAATCACCAGTTCCTTTAATGGTGATTCCTTCGACAGTATCTCCAACTATTCTAACATTACTGACTGAAGGGGGTGCTGCCATATGAATAAAAAAGGAAATTATAGAGAATTAGACACAATTTCAATTATATAAAGAGAACTTCAAAAGGGGGGAAGTTATTCGCCAATGATATAATATAAACTAATTCCTTATTGACAATATCAATCTACCAAATAAGCCAGTTTAATGATTATGAGCCATTAAATCATTTGGATTTGAATATTTCACTTCATCATGTCGGAAATGAAAAGAAACACGGTTCCATCATGTCGGAATAAAATTAATCCGCCTAAGCTATCTAATGAAACTATGAAGGCTTAGATAGTCCTCGCCTAATAAGCCGGTTTTATAAGAATAGGCTGTAAAGAGTCGGTTTGGCTAAGTTTTAACCAAAGGGGAACAAAAGCAATAAAAAATATTTGGTTGACACATAGAATTTACAGAATTCTAAAATAATGGGAGAAAATATTTTCGTTGAGTATAGACACACCGAAATTTGCAGAATTCTATAAGTATAAATAAGAGGTAGCTTTTAGCCTTTTTGTATTAAACCACATTCATAGTTGAAAGTCTATTTTTTCACTTCTTTCTTTATCTGAAACCTCATAATTTCAACAAAGTGCTCAGCTATAAGCATTCAAGAAACAGGAGAATAAAAAAGTATTTCCAGACTTGTGAAACTCAGATATAGAAATAGAGAAAGAATTGGATCATAAGGGATAGGACAACTCTGATACCATGTTGAAACAGATAGTATTTGAAAGAACTAGGAGTATCTAAGCTGCATAATTATCTCCTATCCAGATATGACTAGAATCAAATCAACTAAGAAGCTAATTAAACAAATCCATGACAAATTAAAAGTTAAAATAACTCACTAACACAGAAAATTCCGTAACTATTGTTGACCATATACTCTAACAAGTGTTAAACCTGTGGGTAAACCTAGATTAGCATTCTGCAAATGTTATCAAGCATTTCAACTAGGAGCAAGGAAAAATTAAAGAATATAAAAATGGAAAATTTTCAATCATTACCTGCTCTTACAAAATCTGTATATTTATATTGAGGTTCTCCTTTGGCACCTTCTTCTGTTACTGGTGTGTACATGAAAACTAAACTTGAATCAACGTCGTCAATGGTGGGCAGATACTCATCATCTTCTGCCCCAACAATGACCACTGGACTACTGTTCCACTTTCTCCGCAGCCAACTAAAGCAAGCAAGGATACAAAAACAAATGGCATTGTTCCATTACACCATTTTTAGTTGAATATGACTCGGACATATAAACATAATGCAAATCAACACATACAAGTATAAGGAATGATGTCTCACCTAGCAACACCTTTTCCTGGAGTCCCACCACACCATGCAACCTTAGCACAACCCCGGATGATACTTCCTTCTATCAGTTCCCCGTGGACTTCAAGGTTTAAAACCTTTGGAATTCCACTCCCTTGTGAAAAGTAGAAATGTAAAAAAATCATTTGTAATACATGAATTATGTAAGCATTAAGAAATTATTGAAAGAATATGCCATTGATATTAATTTACAATCTATACAATACAGGTAAGACGCCTCCTTTTTTAACCGGTCAAAATCAGAAAGTTGGCAGGTCATTCAACGATAATCAATTCAAAGGTGAATATTGATCAGTAACAGAGAACAATGTCAGCTCTACAAGTGTGTTCCACCCTCCTTTCTACTTTATAAGTAACATGTCATACTCTTTGTTTTCTAACTCAACCTAATAAATGACTAACCTCTTTGTTAATCTAGAATGGATCGTAGCATTTATTGTAAATAATTTACTTTCCTAGAATAGATTAGATAAATTAGACAATAGAATGAGCCATAGTTATACAACAACATCAACCAAACCTTATATCACTAAGTGGGGCAGGCTATGTATCAAATGACTCCATAATATTTTATCAAAAACCATACTTCTATCCTTCTCATTAATCTCAGAGATCTTTTTTAATAGTTTCTCATATTTTTTTCTAGGAATTCCTCTACCTCTAGCAGTTTAACAACCGTCTGATCTACACTTCCTACTACAGAATCCACATGCCCAAAACACTTAAGTCTAGTTTCCACCATCTTTTCTTCTACTATAGGTGCCACTCCAACTCTCTTTATGTTGTCATTTCTTATTCTATCCCGTAAAATCTTTTCACACATCCAACGCAACATCCTCATCTCTACGACACTTAATTTAGTAAAATTCATTTCAAGTCTAAGATCTCAAAATTTAGTTGTTCGTTTATAAGGAAAGAGGTAAACATACCTGGTTTAACACGGGAAGAGATGGCAAATATAGAAGGATATTCTGTCTCTCCTAAAGTGGGAATACATTCCACTTTCAGAACTTTTCCAATCTCAGCGTGTTTTGGCAAGTAAAACTGATATAAATACAATATCATATACATAAATAATTGAAACAAATATACTAAAAAACAAATTTGAAGTAAGGATGATCATACAATCAACTAAAATACCTCATTAGTGGCCTCTGGAATACGGACAAAATTTGAAAGTGTTACATCACCACAAAACCATTGATATTTTAAGACTAACGGTGGGTCTGTACTCATTGCACCATCATGAACAAATGTAAAGTGACTGTGGCACACATCTTCTTCCAAAGGTTTATCTATTGAGGCTTCTTTGAGGAAAAAACCAGGTGGAAGATGATCCTTCCATTTCTCAACTAGAAAGCGGAAAGTTGACTCTGCAGCTTGCTCAGGGCGACCAAATTCCCAACCATCTCTAATGCACAAAGCGGTATGTGCAGGATATCGTCTTGCTATTGCAATTTCTTCGCGAGAAAGATCTACAAAACTTTTTCATATTCAATGAACGATCTTAATGCATAAGAACATAAGAATTTGAAGATACAAGTACAAATCACTCAAAGAAAACATGCTGGGTACTCTTTAACTAATAACTAGTAGTTAAAATTAGAATAAATTCTTCTATCAGCTCTACCAACATTTTAACAAGCCAAAGGCTAACAATTGAAGGCCCATACCTCTATCATTATATTTTTTTAAAGTAGGCCCAACAAGTAATATTGATGCTGCTTCCAAATGAGGCATCTTCAGTATAGGGTTCTCCTCCACTCGCAAATGCTGCATTAAAATAAATCAGTGAAAACAACTTTTTTTTAAAGCAAAAAAGTTAAAGTTAAATCATTGAAAACAACATAAATCAGTCTACTAAAGTATTTACCCATGCATGTACAATTCAATATCACTAAATGTACTCAAAAGTTACTTAGAATTTCTTAGGTTAAATTCCTGCATTACTATGGACATCTTATCCAAATTTTAAACTAGTACCCTGTGTTGATAATTGCCAGTTGTTTCTAAACGAGTACATCGCGTCCACTTTCATATGGTGCAAACCCGATTAGAAGTTAGAAATGAAAAGATATGGCTTTGATTTAATGGAAACAAAAAGTATTAAAAACTAGACTCAAACTGCAGCCAGCCACATTATTATACATTTATCTTTTATTCAATCAGCCGTGACCTCTTAAACCAAATGCTTGGCCGTGTTGGAGAAAAGGGGAGCATTAGCAAGAAAAACTGTGTCGCAGGAATTTATAATTTTATAACAATGATTTGGCTACTTTGAAGTCAGGGGATCACTTTAGAGAGAAAATTGCAGTATTAAAATTGTTGATTGGAAAACCAAAGGTTAAGATTGGGGTGGTGACATATTATATGCACTTTTCTCTCTGAAGTGTGTCCGAACCTATATAATTTCCAATATAGAAAACAAAACTCTTACGTAAAATAAATTTATGTCCGATCACAGCAATGGCTACAATCATAAAAATAAGAAAATATGAAAATATGAACTACCGAAAAAATTAGGAAAATATGAACTACCGAAAATTTCTAAATTTCCAGTATTTTAAAAAAAAATTGAACTATCGGAAATTTCAAAATTTCCGATATCATGTAGAGTCCTGGGAATTTTGAAATTTCCGGTACAAAAAGAAAATGTTTACTCGGAAATTTCAAATTTTCCGGTATGAAAATACCAGAATTTTTGAAAATTCCGGTACAAAATACCCTGGAAATTCCTTTTTGTCTCACTAAATTTCTGCTGTCGCCTTGAAATTTCCAATATCGCCACCGAGATTTAAAAAATTTCGATTGGTCACGAAAATTTTGAATTTCTAAAAAATATTTGAGTCTGAATAATTTAATCTTTTCATACCATTTGAGGGATGCCATGTATAAGATTGGGGTTCATGTTAATTCTTCGGACAGTCGACAGAGATATTGGGCCAACCCATTAGCTTTTCAGGGTTCTAAAAAATATATAAATACGAGAAACTAAATGGCCAAAAGTAGGGTTTTTGTCTTTTCTCGCAGCTTCATTCGGGTCTTCTCCTCTTCCTGTCGCACCACACAATTCTACTGCGTAAGCTTTCTTCTTCATTTCTATCTCTTCAATTTACCATTTACCTATGTCTTGCTTCGCAATTTTATTCAATTTTTTTTCGTTTTCGATTACTGTCACTATTGATCATTCCGTGGTTCTTCAAAATTGTACTCTTTCAATTCTGATGTTGCGATGATTTCAATAATCATGATTCGGTAATTTGTTGTTCACTGTGTTATTCTCTGCTCCGATTTGTGATTACTGTGATTGCTGTTTAACTTCTTTGAAAGTTTTTAATGAATTGTGATCTGAACTATGATTATCTTACTGAAATTTGTAATTTTCAGAACCCTAATTGTAGATTTGTTCACGTGTTATGCATTGTAATTTTAGATTTGTAACCTTTTCTTTGTATTGACATTGTAAATGTGGATGTGTTTTGAGCAGAATGGATACTCAAGCCAAGAGTGTTGAGGTTGAGACAATTGTTGGGCGCACTGGTTCAAGAGGACAGGTGACTCAAGTTAGAGTGAGATTTATTGATGACCCGAGCCGTCGCATTATGAGGAATGTGAAAGGACCTGTCAGAGTGGGTGATGTACTCACTCTACTGGAGTCTGAAAGGGAAGCAAGGAGGTTGCGGTAGAGGAATATACTCAATGTTCTGGTTCTGGATTTAATAATAAAACATTGGTTTTTTGGGGGTATTTAGTTGATGGCCAATGTTATTTTGAAACACTTATATTGTGCACTTTGTTATGAATTGGCCTTTTATTTGGTCTGGTTCTGAGCAAACCGTTTATTTGACTCCATAATAATGATTTTCTTTGATTTATAGTGTTTGATTTTGCATTTAAAATTGCATTTGTGTTAATTTTGCAAGTGAAATCACCATTTGGGGGTGTGCATAATATTTCCTTTGGTAGGAAAGTTGATCTGTCTTGAATTTTGAGATAAGGCAAATATATGATTAGTAGGCTAAGTAATCTTTTAATCTCTGCATTGCAATGTGTTCGTCTTCCTTCTTTACATGTTGTGTTTTACAACCCTGTCACTTCTTTCTTTACATTTTATAATGTACTAGTAATATGCAATTTGGTGATATATAAATAATAATTAAAAATAAAAAACTTGAGTTGTACAGTAGTTTGAAGTTTTCTGACATTGTCTAAAATTGTGTAATAGAGTTATGAACCACAAGTCTTTCTGGATAAATATGGTATTAAGATTACTTGTAATATCCGACAGTAACACAATGATTAACTATACCCATGAAAAAAGTCTACTCCAATAAATGCGATGAACTGTTTGGTTGTATTATGCAAATAAAAATTATATCAGACTAACCTCAAGAACTGGTAAATACGGAAAACCTGTAAGTGTAGAAATTCTGTTTTTGCTGGCAGCTAACACCTGCATCAGATTACTTAATTGTTACTCAATAAAATGTTTAATAGCACACGGTATATGGTCAATACTTGATACAGCAAAACAACCTGGAGTCGAGGTTGACTTGCCATAGTGAGAGATTTCAACTTATTTTGAGCTACTGAGAGGAACTGCAAAATTGAAGCATAGAAAATACAAATGTTTTATGAAAACTTAAGTTGAAGACCAAAAAAATAAAATCTGAATAAATAATCAGAAAACTGACAAGGTTTTTTTAAAGCTTGCCTCCAAATTGGGAAGTTGTGGGAGACTTGCCAATGATGTGATTTGATTCCCAGCAAGATAGAGTTGCTACATAAAAAGTTATGAATTCCATAATGTCATTATTAAAATTTTACATATTGCATCCATAAGGCAAAAGCAAGTGCACCCATATATGTATACCTGCAGTGCTTTGCAACTCTCAAGAGGCTCAAACCCATGCCCTTTAAAATCATTAAAACTCAAATCAAGAACCTGATAAATCAAGTGGTTTCTTTCAATTAGTTAGTAGAGAGATCACTTGAAGATATTCAAACATAATAACCAAGCACAAATTATGTGTAAAACCTTCACTCTTGTCAATATTTCTACTCCTTCCAATGTAGACAAGAGATTGTCACGGAGATAGAGAAACTGCCAATAAGAATCATAAGTTAAATGCTATGAAAGTCCTCAAAATACAAAATAACTATGGAATGTTAAAATTTAAACAACTTGAGATTCTCTCCTAGGCATTATGCAGACGTGGGAATAAATAAAGGCAAATAAGATATTTTATTCATAATCTTAAACAACAAAACCTACAGCCATTGAAGAGTCAATAGCAATTAAATCAACATCAGCTTGCTAGTCTTGTCATGGTATTTCGCACAGCAGCAAGAAAGAGCTGCACTTTACTAACTTTTCTCTCTTGCAAATGAAAAGATTTCCCAACTATTTTTTACACATAACATTGTGTGTGCCAACCATAGCAAACTTTTTTCTTTCCTAAAAAATATTAGTAAATGAACATGGACAAGGAAGACAACTCATGTTTTTATGGAATGAGTAGAGGAGAAAATTAAAGGGCACATTGATATGAATTTGCTCAGATGCTCATCTGTTATAGGAGTTAATAAATAAAACGAGGTCATTTCCCTGCCATAAATTAAATTTCATTTAAAAATTGCCAAAAACAACTGTGAACATATTATCTAACATAATGTGCTAAGCAAAAGACAAGCTTACCTCCAAATTTGAGGATAAGTTTAATCCACCAGCAGTGAGACTGCGAACTCTGTGTCCCCTAAGATCCAGTCTCTGATAAAAAATCAATATAGTTTAGAATTAGACAGTAAAAGGGGCTGAAAGCTTCATTACAATGTGGTTCAAGCAAGGTTTCAAAGAAAAAAATTTGCAACCTCGATTATGGCCGCAGTCTAATAACAACAACAACTGTGTCTATACCCAGTGTTATCAAATATCCGCCATGGCGACCCTATGGTGGATATACATGGCAGTCTTTGGGCTTGCCACAATGGTTAATATCGGCTGATACTGCGGGTTTTTCCGCCATAATCCGCTATAACAATATAATGGTGCCACAAAGCGACGGTATGGTGGGATTTTGTCCCGCCACGGACAACACTGATATCCCCCCAAAATAAGTAAGAAGACGAAGTGGTGAGTCCTTTTTGTGATAACTAAAGCACTCCAATATGCCGAACATTACTAGTATTAGTTGTTAAACAGTTCACAAAATACACAATCAATCTGACTGTGCTCACCATTATTATTTTTTTCTTTCCACACATGCAAGCCATTAAGTTAAAACTTCATAATAGAGCTTTTTCTTCCTAAAATTTAAATAAATCACCCAACAACCACTAATTATTTTCGAAGACAAAAGCACCTACAGCTAATAATGCACAACATCACATACATATCATATTTACTTTTCAGCTAATAATCCCCTCTCCTTTTCAGCAATATTCCAAAGTCAACCGTAGGGGTGTTTGCTTGATGGATTCAAATCATATTTCCGGGAATGAGATTGGGAATCCCATATTTACATGTTAGTTTTTAATTTTAACAAATTATTCCTAGACAATTTACTTTAAGGAATTTAATTTACTCTTGAAATTTTTAATATTTACTTTCATGTTAAAGGGTGAGAATTTCCTATGAGAATAAAAAAGAACCAACAATAACTATGTAATTTTATTTTCAAAATTATAAAATAAAATTTAAAAACATTCCTAGAAATGTTAATACACAAATTCATGGGAATAAAATTTAAGGCAATAACCTTCTAGAATTGTAATTTAATTTTAATCCAACAATCAACACATCCTAAATAACTTACTAATAAGATTTTAAACAGTAACCTAAAAATTAACACTATTGCAATAATCACAACAAACCTTACCAAATCATCACTAGCCTTAATCTCAATCTGCGGAAGAACAATAAACCGTGAATTCCGGCTATCAGGAGTCCCCACTTTCCTCCTTCCAGACAAACCAGAACTCCTCTCCGAAGAAGACGACACAGATCCCGGTCTCAGCCCGCCGGACACAGTCGGCGACCGTGCCGACATCGACGGCGACGAAACCTTCGTCACACTCTTCCTAACAGAACCACCGCCACTAGCATCAACAGTCGAAGAACCAACTCTCCTCGACGAGGAGGAAGAAGCAGAAACCGGCAACGCCGGCTTACTTAACGGCCTCTTAACAACTTCCGCCTTACTAGAACTCGAACCAGAAACGGTCGGTGTCCTCGTTCCCGTCGGCGAGGCGGCGGCAACCGGCTTGCCAGCATGCAAAGCAGAAATCGAACTCCGACGAATCTCCGGGAGAGATCTTCGCACTGGTTCAGTAACCGAAGAAGAAATGGTTTTATCTCTAACAGTAGTTTTAGTTCTTCCATCTGATGATAACGATAACGAAGACGAAGACCGTTGTGCTAACCCTCCAGTACTGTTTCTTCTCGGTACTGAACTCGAACTAACTGAACCTGAATCCGTTACGTTCCGAGCCTCAACTCTTTTTCTCGAAGAAATCGAACCACTTGAAACGGTTTTCACAGCTTCGGAAGATTTTTTCTTCTCAGACTCTAACGGCACTTCCATTTTTCAACCTGAAAAAAAAAATTTAAACAAAAATAGAAATAATTAAAAAAAAATGAAATTAAAGTGTAGAGAAGAAATGAAATAGGTTAGATCTAATGTGGATGAAGGAAAAGTGGTTTACTTTGTGCCCTAGCAAGAAAATGAGGAGATCTAGACAATTGAACCGAAAGTGAAGATGAATTTGAGTAGCATTGAGATAGAGAGAGTGGGTAGGAAAAAAGGTGGAAGGGTTATTGTTGAGAGGGACAGAGTAACTGGAGCAATAAACAATGGTTGATGGAAAAAACGGAAATGAGCCAAAAGAGTAAAGTGAGAGTGTGGGGTAGGTTCTTAAATTTTAAAAACTAATTTGTCGGAAACGCCCGGGAATGGAAAAACTAGTAAAACTAGACTGAATATAGTGCTAATTACGTAGTACTTTATAGGTTTTTCCGTCTAAAAAACAATTGGTTTTTATTTATCTTTTTTAGCATTTACTTTGGTTTTTTAAGTATATAGTTTACTTTGACAAATATTTAATTTCTTAAAGTTTGTATTAATTTTACATTTTTAATTAAGATAATAGTTTTTTGAAGTCAACAATTATGTGAATTTTATTTAATAGAAAAGAGGATAATTCGGCTAGAATAGTACTTCGTTACTGTTTATATTTCAATTCACGAACTTTAGATTAATAGAGTTTTTCTTCTTTATGAATCAGAGTGCAAAAGGTAAAAGAAAAATAATAATAGATTTAGAAACAATAAAAATTATTATAATTGTTTTTAATATTTTAAGAAATAGAGCATTCCTAACTAATTAGAATTCTCCAAAATATAAACTATTTCACATTAATCAAATTTATTTAAACTGATATTTGAGTTGATGCACTTATTTACATAATTTTAAAGTAGTTTAATTAGTTAGATTTAATATGTTTCTTTTAAGTAGATTATAATATTTTTATTGAGATATTAAATATAATATCAAATATAATTCAAGTTAAATATGCTGAGATATTAGAAATATAATTCAAATGAGATATTAGAAATATAATTTAAATTAGATATGTTGAGATATTATATACAATATCAAATTTAATCTAAGGTAGAAAGTCCAAGTCTGATTAGAGTTGTATATAAATAGTCATAGTTTGTCTCATTATTTGTACAATATAATTCAAGTGAATATTATAATCTTTATTTTCTTATTATCCTCTCTTTCTCTTCTCGTTAAAAGTGTCACACGCACTAACAACTTGGTATCCATGGCTTTCAATTATTGTCTTGATCGTGGTTTCAAGAACTTCACGTCAGAGTTCGTGTTTTCAGGACAAGTGAATCAACTGCTGCGAAGATGTCTAATGATAAGGGCATTTTGAATTCTCTTCCAATACTTGACGAAAAAATTGGATCCGATGGAAAAAACAGATGCAATCCTTGTTTGGCTTCCATGATACCCTAGAAGTAGTTACCGATGGAGTTCTTGCACTGGCTGCAGATGCAACTGAATCACAGAAAACTGTCTGCAACGAAGTCAAGAAAAAATATTGTAAAGCTGCTTATTGCATTCAGACGGTGGTCGATCTTGCTAACTTCGATAAAACCTCTCATGCTGAAACGGCGAAGGAGGCATGGGATATTTTGGTCAAGTATTATGAAGAAGGTGAGAAAGTCAAGGTTGTCAAGTTGCAGACCTTGCATCGTTAATATGAATTATTGTCAATGGAAGAAGACGAAAAAGTTGTAGAATATGTGTCGAAGGTCCAAAAACTCGTCCATCTCATGAAGGGTTGTGGTGAAACCATAAATGATAAGATGATAGTTGAGAAGGTAATGGGTACGCTGATCTCTCACTTTGATCATGTTATCGTAGCTATTCAAGAATCCAATCAACTTGAAACCCTAAAATTGGAAGATTTAGTTGGTTCGTTGAAAGCGTGTGAGATTAGGATTTTCGAAAGGAAATGAGTTCAAGACTCGATACAAGATTTGCAAGTTCAGTCATGTAAAAGGAATGGTGATTCCAACAAATTCAGAGGCAAAGTCGACAAGACTCAGGAAAAGAAGTCTTGGTTGAACCCTCATAAGCATCAGGTCAAATATAGAGCTTCTGAATCCTCAAAAAGAGAAGGAGGAAACCATCAAAAGGATAAAGAAGATAAAAAAGGTGTGCAGTGTTATAACTGTGAAAAGTGGGTCCACTTTGCCAAGAATTATTTGTACAAGAAAGACAAGGGATCAACAGGCAAGGACGAATGAGCGAACCTTGCACACCAAGATTCAGATGATTTTGAAGTTATTTCGAATCCAAGATCGGGTTCCTCAACTTAGGACGCTCGAATCACATGACTGGTCAAAAGGTGTGGTTGGAAGATTTCGACGAGTCGAAGAAGAGCAAGGTAAAACTTGCTGATAATAGTTCATTGTAAGAAAAAAGTATCGGTAACATAGTTTTTCAAATGAGTAATGGAGGGAAAGTTATTATCAAAGATGTACTCTATGTACCTGGCATAAAGTGCAATCTGCTAAGTGTTGGACAACTAGTCGAAAAAGGTGTCTCAGTTGTCATGAAAGATGGATTTTTAAAAATTTTCGACACCCATAAAATTTAGTCTTGAAATCTCCTTTGTTGAAGAACAGGACGTTTAAGACCATGATCAGTTCGACTGAAGTACAATGTCTAAAAATGGTTGTCTGCCACAAGGATTGTTGGTTGCGGCATTTGAGGTTTGAGCATTTGAATTTTCGATCACTCAATCATCTAATTACTCAAAATATGGCAACTAGTATCCCAAGTCTTGAGATGCCTGACAAACTTTATGAAGGTTGTTTAGTCGAAAAGTAATCCATAAATTCTTTCGTTTCGACTATACCAATGAGATCATTCTGCATACTCAAAGTGGTACATTCAGATGTATGTGGCCCATTCGAAGAATATACCATTGGTGGAAATATATATTTTATTTTGTTTGTCAATGAGTTTATTCGAAAGTTATGGATCTGTGTGATCAAGCAAAAGTACAGAGTATTTGAAATCTTCAAGAGATTCAAGATACTTGTTGAAAGCCATAGTGAGAAGAAGATTAAAGTTCTGCAAACAAATGGAGGTGGTGAATATACATCCAAGATGTTTGAAGATTTCTGTGTAGAACATGATGTCGATCTATTTACTGTGAAATTTGGTAAACAACCGCTATTCTTCCAAAACAAAGGTAAATATAATGTTGTTTTACTAGTGTTTTTGAGTATTTGTTCTATGTCGAAAAGATAAATATAATGAAGGTAAAAGTGATGACAAAGGCTTGAAGATAAAGGCAGAAAAGGTTTTAAAGTAGCATCGGAATGTAAATAATTCGACTTAAACTTAAACAAAAAGTAAAAGACTTGATTTAAATGAAAATGACTTTGAATATAAATTGTTGTTTATAGACGTACATTCTCAATAACTCTTTTCTCTAACACTGGTACTTCGAGTTTGTATGATTAATTTGTACAAAAGTGAACACACACAATCCTAATACAAAGATCATAATTTATACTAATTCGACCCTCACTGTCTTTTTCTACAAAAGTGTCATTTTTTAGTCTTGCGTGCTTCTTCTAATCGTCAGGCTTCAACGCGTCCTTTCAGATAAGATCAATCTATTTGAATTCGAATCCTTCTTCAATTTGAAGCGCCAAAAGAACAACATCATGTATCTAAACGATTAAAATTCAATCTTCACATAACTTAAGTTTCATATATTCCACAATAAGAATTTCGCCATTGCTTAACATAATCAAATTGTCCATAATTTGGTCAGTCGAAATCCCTTATGAAATATTCTCATATTCTCTTCCACAACTAAACTTCTTTCGATTTCTTCATTTTCCTCAAAATCATATGTCGTCGAAATTCTCAGTTAACAAATTGCCCCCAAAAAATGTGTATTTCGAAACACTTGAAGAAATGGACATTTTTTGCAAAACTTCAATTTCGACGCAAAAGTTGCTCCATGATGACCATTATTGCATTTATTATGTAACTCTGAAACATAGTCATTTTGGCTTTTTTGGTTTATGAACACCATATTGCCTTTTATGATTTCGATTTTTACTTTATTGCAATCTTTAATTCCTGAAGCATGGTTTTGCACCCCAATATTTACCCTCTCATTTTCTTCAAGACGTTTTCATAAAAGTCTCAAATAGTCAAAGCTACTCAAGAGTTGACTGGTCAAAACCTCCTCCTAAGCAACGAGTCCACAGTTAAGGTTTGGTGCTTCTCAAAGAATATTGGTTTGAAAAGGTCTCAAATAACTTTCATGGTTCATCATAGGTCCTCAACAATGCTCATGTCAAGTTTTAAGTCTTGCATCACAAGTTTGCTCAGTCAATTGCTTAGATGACTGAAAATCAATTGTATTGGACAAAAAGTCAATTGTGGTCAACATACAGTCAAGCTTCATGATTGTTTTGTCAACATCAATATTTTGAGGTGATATTCATCATTTGATCAAGTATTGACCATGACTCCTCAAGGAAAGCCCTCAAATCATCAAAGGTCAGAAATTGCCAAAATTAGGGTTTTGATTAAAGATGACTGATCATTGATTGTTGATGTGATACGGTGGGAAGAACTGACTGTTTTTGGAATGTTGGTTTGCGTTTTGTGTTTGTGTTTGCAAAATGTCGCGGTAAGCAAGAGTCTCCACCGAATTTTATTTTATCCAACAAGGAAAGGAAAAAAGCACAGAAAAATTCCTTTTTCGAGATATTTCTCGGGTTCGGGGGGTAGATTATAGAAAGGGAAGGTATTAGCACCCTTTCTATCCGTAGTTATCTACGGGCTCTTAGGTACTTGCTCATCGTTTTCAAAATGTTTTCTTTGTGCTTGTGGGTTTGGAAAAGTTTTGGTTTTTTAACTTCGATTTAACTCTTGCTTCTGTCCTCAAGAGTGTAATGAAGTGTTTTTGAAAACTTTGTTTGAAAAGGAGTGTAAGTGTGAGAAAAAGTTTGTTTTTGATGAGCAAGTATCTA